CCCGGGGTTCAGGCTGCTGGATGACCTGGTGACCTGTATCTCCCGGGACCCTTGTAGCTCCAGCCCGTGCAGAGGAGTGGCCACATGCGTCCCTGAGTCCCTCTGGAAAAACTACACGTGCCAGTGCCCCGAAGGCTACCAGCTGAATGCGACTCAGCAGGACTGTGTAGATGTGGACGAGTGCCAGGCCTCCCCCTGTGAACAGGAGTGTGTCAACACCCCTGGGAGCTTCCACTGCCAGTGCTGGGTGGGCTACGAGCCCAGCAGCCCCGGAGGGCCGGCCTGTCAGGATGTGGATGAGTGTATGAGCCCTGAGGGCGGCCTCTGTGAAGGCTACTGCCTCAACACGCAGGGGTCCTTCCGCTGCACCTGCTTGCCAGGCAGGGAGCTGGCCCCCGACGGGGTCTCCTGTATCACAGGCACCACGTCCCTGGGACCATCTGCTGAGACCCCCCAGGGGCAGAACACAGGAGATAAAGAATGGAGCCTCGGGCCTTCTACCACAACCTCAAGTCCAACTGGGAGCCCTGAGGGCACTTCCAAGGTGGCACCCACCAGGTGGAGACTCTTCCTTGAATCCAATGCCTCTATCACCCCTACGTCACCCCAGTCTCTGGCCACCACTGGGTCCCCTGGAATCTGGATGGAGTACAGCAGCCATCACCCCACAGCCACTACTGGTCACGAGGAGTCTACGGATGGGGATCTCATTGCCCAACAAAAGAATGACAGCCCCGACTGGCAAAAGCTGCTTTTGTTCTATATCCTCGGCACTGTGGCGGCCATCTTACTCCTGCTGGCTCTGGCCCTGGGGCTGCTGGTCTACCGCAAGCGGAGAGCCAAGAGGGAGGAGAAAGAGAAGAAGCCCCAGAGCGCGGCAGACAGCTACTCCTGGGTTCCGGAGAGAGCTGAAAGCAGGGCCATGGAGAACCAGTACAGGTAAAGAGGGCCAAGGTTGCCCAGGGCAGGAGGGGGCAGACACAGGGAGGGGGGTGGGCAACAACTCCACAAACAGGTAGAGGGCGGGGGCAGGCACCGTCCAAGCTGGACAGTAAGCTCAATCCTGCTGTGAACCCGGAGGCATGCTGAGCTCCCTTAGGGCAGTTGATCTGCTTGCAGCTCAGGTGTACATGGGCCGCCCCCAGGGTCTAGACACGCACGGCAGGGCCCTCCAGCTTCCAACGCTGTCACCTTCTGTTTTCCATAGTCCAACACCTGGGACAGACTGCTGAAGGTGGCCCCAGAGATACTGCCAGTCAGCTGCCACCATCCTCAGAACTCAGATGGAGGGACCCACATCCTTCTGAAAGACTGGACTGGAATTTTAGCAAACAGTTGTCAACTTTCTCCTTAAAAGCCTGGCCACTTGGGACGGTCAGGTGTATCCTAAATGCGTGTGTTATTCCCAGAGTGGAAGTCATGGTTGTGGTGTCATGGCGGGGGATTTTGTGAATATTAACAATTGTCACTCAGTCTCCCTTTTCAAATACGAATATGATTGATTTTCTTTTTCTGCACTGGTTCTGGATTATGTCAGGTGCTAATGGGCTTCTCTTCTCACTGGAGTCATCGAAGAAGAAAAGGGGTCTGATAATGCTAACTAGTACAATGGGGACTAAGTAAATTATTGTGTAATTACGTAAGAAGTTATTTTTTTTTTTTGTCAAAGGGAACGTATGTAGGACTGAAAACCTGTCTTTGCATTTACATTCATGCATTTTCCCATCACAAGTCCTGCCGACCTTGGTGTTGTTGAAATCCTCCACAGTGACCAGAAATCCACTAAGTGAGCAAGGAGGCAGGGAGTTTAGAAATCACATGTCTCATTCTTAAGTGTCAGAGTCTTGGCTTTATTAGCTAGTGAAACTTGAAAAATGTGGATAAAGTTGTAGGAAGTGAGTTACAACGGTTTTGAAAAGAATCAAAAGTGCTGAAGAGGGGGGCCAGAGTTCGTTCCGCAAACACTTGAATCTAATTTCATCTAAATGTTCGTATGTGAACGCAGACTTGACTGTGGAGGCGTTGAACACTCACAGAGAAGACGCCAGGGGCCACCTGTCTCTAAGCCTGCCCATCCAGAGACACCCGCCCCGCCCCGCGTCCCTGCCTTCACCTCAGGCAGCTCTGCATTTTGGTGCTTTGACTGTAGATGGAGGGCACCCTAGGGAGTCGTTCGCTCTGATTGTTTCCAAAGGACACGTGAGGGAGATGCCTGGCTGGCATCATAAAGCTTTATAGCCCGGCTCACAGTTGACGTTAGCACAGTTGACAGTCCTGACAACTTGATCCTGATGTGTGGCTGCAGCACACAGAAGGGCCGGGGGCCAGTCACGCACCATGACAGTCCCCATGCTGCTTCAGGAACTTGTATCCCCTTTTTCTCTTTTTCTTAAAGAGGAGGTCTGGGGGAGGGAAAGAAGAGAGAATAATTAAAATTTCTTGCAACTATAAAAACTGCTCAAAGCAACTTAAATTTATATCCTCATGTTCAAAGGCTCACTTGCCAAGATTTCCCCTTGCGATGTGGTCAGTACTGCGAGGTTCTGCCTGTGCAGCCAGAAAGCCGCTGGGATGGTCAAGGCTGTGCCCGCTGCCTGAGGAGCCGCGAGGCCTCCGGGCCCTGGGGGCTGTCTGCTGCCGCCAAGCAGACGTCCAGAGGGAATGGGCTTCCTTCCAGAGATTCCAAACTCTGCCTCGCAGGAGGAGGGCATCCCATTGTTTCTGGTTTTGCCTTAGAAATGCAACCATCCCAGAGGTTAACACCTGGCCCTCAGAGTCCAGTACACTTTTTTTTTTTTTTTGCCAAATTTGAAATGTAGGTGCTACAGTTTATTATTTTTTTTAAAGACCATGGGAAACTGCAGACGGTGTAAAAGGAAACAGGAAGGCCCTGTGGAGCCTAGCAGGCGCTTGGAAGTTCTGCATTTTAGTCCGTTTTCACTTGGAGTAACACTCTAAGTCTGACACTCTAGGAGACCAAAGCTGTGCCCTTTCATCACAGGACCCTGACAGTCTCTTGTATGGGAACCAACTGGTGATTGAAAGGCTGTTGCTGACTAGTATCTGCATGGACATGAAATAAATGCAAATTCAACAGCTTCCCCCTAGGTTTGTACAGTTTTTCTTTTCGTTTGAGATGAAGGAGACGATCTTATTCTGGGCTTTGCCCAAGTCCTCTGTGATCCTGTGGGCCTTGAACTGGCTGAGGTTACTAACATGCACTCTCAGTTCTGTGTTCCGTTTTTCTAGGGCCCTCAAGGGGCTAATAGGGTTGACAAATAGCAGTTTCTCAGAATCTGCCCTGGCTGAGTTGGCCCCCCAAATGCCAGTGAGGCCTCTTGCTCTCACGCCACTGCCCACTAGCGGCCAAGATCCTCGACCTGCATGACCTCAGGCAGAGAAACTGATGAAACTACTGGCCTCAAATAGATGCTTTATTCTCCCTTTAACACTGCTATAATTCTGCCTGAGTATTTGAATCCTTGTACTGGAGAGCTCCGGGCCACCACAGTGAATATACAAGTGTTTGTGGGCTGTGTGGCCGTTGGTGAACTTCCCATTTATTCATAGGGGCCCAGGTGGCTCGGCCATAACACAGCCAGAGAAGCGGATGGGGCTGAGCCTGGGGAGAGGTGGCCCTGCCCTGTGCACACCCCTCCAACCACGTCCTTGGGTGGGGACAGACCAGGTGCTGCTGTTTCTGACCTGCTGAGCAGCAGGACAAGTGAGACGATGGGGAGAGGGAGAAGGGTCTACTTAGCAAAGGCTCAAAGGCGATGGAGACTTTTGTCCAAATAGTATTTCCCATAGTTCAATCATTTTAGAAAACTCTTAGAAAACCTAGATCTGGGACAAAGTTACTTCCTCTTACCTTTCGCCTTCCAAGGCAGATAATTGAAAAGGGGGAGGACACCTTTAATTATGCAGCTCACTAGGCCCATGTCTTTCTTTTAGGGACAGTCATTGCTTTTTCTTCTTTACTATTTATAGAGCCTGATGCAAGAGGACGTTTCCCCCTCGGGAATCTGAGGCTTGGAGGAAACCGAGGGTGGGGCAACTATCCAACAAGGCCTAGGGGGTGGTGGGCTTGGTGAGCAGGACCCACCACTGTCAGCAGTGCGGCCTTGAGGCACACGCAGCTGTTGAGGGCAGCTTGACCATCGGAGTGGACCCTGTGATGTTACACATCCACATGGCGTTTTCCCAGCAGCAGTAAGTGGGTGACTTAAGTGGTTTCTGAGTTGAGAGCAGGAGGATTCTGGGGTGTGGTCCCTGTCAGGCTTTGCAAGGCCAACTCTAGCCCTAAGTGTTACTCAGTGGTAGCCTAGCAACCTTGGCAAAGGCTCCTCCTCCCCTCTTTTCATGATCAGGCAAACAAGTGGAATCAAAAGTTAAGCGTGCAATACCTGCTCATGTACATCATGAAGGCGGACCTGAGGAGGGAATGAATCTCTTTTCTCTTAAACACACATGTGCGCGTCCCTGTTCTCATTTATGTTCTAAGCATGAGCACCTGTCTGAGCCTGCTGTGCTGGCACCTGGCCTCCTCACGAGAGATCTTTGAAGAATACGCATTTCAGCATTGGTTACTTTTACTCCAACTTTCTTGTCCATAAACATGTGAAAACTAAAAGAAAAGAGATGAGATCTGACAAAAATAGTACAAACTTCAAAATAATGCAGTTTTTTAAGGCAAATATAGGAAAGCCTTTTGTGTTATTTTTCTCCTGGACTTTGCCATTGTCTGGAACAGGAAAACAGGAAAGCAATGCTTTCTAGCAGCTGCAGATCGTGTAATGGCTCTACATATTTCCATCACCTTAAACAATAGGTCCAGTGTGGGAATCTGAGATAGGAGCCCCGAGCACATCTGTTTCTGTCAGGCTGCAATACCCACAGCTTAGATCTGTGTGGTTCGTGGAATGAACAACAATAAAAAACCCAAAAAGACAATAATCAAAATTCCCCACCTCCCGATTTTTGGAACTAATATTAACTGATGTGCTTTAAAAAATTGTGCTTTGGTCTGTTTTTAGAGTTAATGCCCATTTATTTTAAGAAGCAACTCTAGAATTTCTTTCTTGAATAGTTTCTTTTATCTGCAAAGTGGCAAGGGTTTCCACCCCTCCCCACAACAGATTTTGTCCTCTGCTCCCCTGGGCTGAAGTTCTTTTTGCATATTTGGCTTAAGCTTGAACTGGATTGTATGCTAGGTCTGGTTCTGCTATGGTAGGTGTGATTGTAAATGGCTAGTCACTTCATGAATGTTAAGTGAGAATGTAAGTAGTTTCAAATATGTGTATTTAAACTGTGTCCCACTAATTCTGGAATCATGGGCTTTCAATGCGGGGTTTATTTTCATCCCAGGCATGAGTGCTTCTCAGGTTGGGGGGAGGGCATGCTTGAATGGGGCACTGATCCTCAGAAACTCTGAGAAACTGAGCGGCATCTTGGTTCAGCCTCAAATGGCAGGTTTGTTGTCTTTTGCACTTGTATTACACAACTATTCTAATAAAGTCTGAAATATGTTTGTTGTCAACTTGCTTTAATATATTTCATAACATGCCCAGCTGGTCGATGGTCGATCTATGAATCAGGAGGTCACAGCTTGATCCCTGGTCAGGGCATATGCCTGATTGCGGGCTTGATCCCCAGTAGGGGGTGTGCAAGAGACAGCCGATCAATGATTATCTCTCACCATTGATGTTTCTTCCTCTCTTTCCGTCTCCTTGCTCTCTGACATCAATATAAATATTAAACAATATATATATTTCATAACAACTCAAAATGTGTGGCAGACGTGCATGTACGATCATTAATTGTATCAGTTTTCTTTTTCAAGCAGTTGCTAAAAGTAGGTAACGTGACTGCCCCATTTCCACGTCTTCACCCACTGGAGGCAGTGCCCTGCTGCCCACACTGTGCCTCAGCACTCTGCCTTCAGGGACATGGACATACATGGGCTGCAGTGTGACCAGTGTCCCAGCTGCTGAAACCAGGGGGATTGAATGCTTCCAAATGTTGCCTTTGGAATCAGAGGCTACTCCTCGGGCCTCCATCATCACCGTTTAATTCTCCGCATCTTTTTAATTGCCCTGGTGACGTCTGGTGCGGGAATAAACGTCCAATTGGAGTGATGCAAAAATACTGTTCTCTGATGATCACAGGAGCGTTATCATCACACTGTTGGCAAAGCATTTTGGATTTATTTCGCTAAGTAGACAGGCTGACTAGGTTGGCTGTGTTTGGCTGCATGGATCTCACTGTGAGTGGAAGTTGGGCAGCAGATGGTGGTCAGTTCCCAATTTACCTGCCTTTCAGATTGTGTCCTGGCAGGAACGGGGCTCAGGTGAGATCAAGTGCTCCACGGTTATGCTAATAGACAGGACACTTGCTATAAACACTCGTCACTCAGGGTTAATTAAAGCTGATCCTTTTAGCAATCTTGTCACTAACAAAATACAATTAGAAATTATATCTTAATATGAACAACTGTGGCTGGCCCTCGACATACACACACACACACACACACACACACACGCGCGCACACACACACAGGCACCACAAACATACTGACATGCCTAATTAATCTGTTGCATGTGGTGAACACTGACATTTTTCAGTTTTTACTTTTTTCTAAATTTTATTTTTAGCCTTCTTATGTCTTTTTATGTTTCTCTCTTGTAAACAACAATGTTGAATTTCACTGTTTTTCTTTTTCTTTTATCCAATCAAAAAAGCCTTTGTCTTTTTATCGGATGTTGTTAATCCTCACCGGAGGATATTTTTT